ATCGATGACAATTCACATAAGCTCAAATACGGCGACGAGGTCGAGATATTTCCTTCCGATTACGGACATATGGGAAAGACTGTTGGGAATCTCGTTGGTCTTACAATTGACGAGGTCACTATCTGTAACAGCAAAAGCGTCCGTGTACATTTTCCGCGCTGGAACTTCAGTGTCGTCAAAATCGCGTCTAAGTCCATGATCTAGACAACTGATAGATCCGATTTCCGTTCATCTTTCTCGCTACGGTTAGTGAATTTAGTGAGCTCGTTCCAAGGCAATAGTTGCTGTCTCATCGCTTTTCATCACCGAAGCGTTTTCCTATCGGTCACTGTAGCTGTTGTAACATTGCGTTATGGAACACCAGCGGACTAGATGTTTAGCAATTCGCACTTTAGTTTGTAGTCATTGCAGGTAAGCTGGGACATTTGAAACATAACGCTACGATGGAGATGAACATATGAGCCCATGCAAAATGGTACGTCCGTGTCATGAGCGTTTTGTTATCGAATTAAATTAATCGTGGTTGGTAACACTTTGCAGGACGGTATACATCGACCTCTGACGCAACACGACGACAGCAAAGTCACTGCTGTTCACGAAAGCTATTCTTCCTTGTCCGCAGCTTATGAGGCTAATGAATTGCCAGCGCCATTCTCCTTGCAGTAATAGTTCAACTCATCACCACCGATGTGATTCCCTAGCGATTGACAAAGGTTGAGCTTGCCGACTTCGGTCTGCACAATGTTAGCATGCGAAGGGTTCATGGAGGGATTCTTGTATGTCTCACCATCTTGCAATCGGCACATGTATCCCATTGCTGGTCGCCAGTGTTGCGATTCAGATATGCGTTGCATGCCTTTGTTGTTGCGTCGGCGTTGTACACGTATTGTCCGCCGACTTCATCGACACAAAGACCTTCCCTGTGGAGGTCGGCGCTGACGAAGGAGCCCACGAGGATGGAAAGTGCGGAGAGGACGACTGAGAAATGCATGACGGCTTCAGGTTTCGAAATAGCTCAGACAGAGCGAAGGTAACGACAGAATTGACTGTAAAAGCCAGGTGCACCAAAGGATTAAAGAGCGGAAGTTGGGTACTGCTCAGAACCGGATGTGGAAACAAGATAAATAAGTAAGAACTGATGATAGAACGGATCCTCGTTCATGCTTTCATCGCCATCACTACAATTGTCCTTTGTCCATTCTCGGCGCAATTGTGGCGAGCGCGCCCCTTCTTCCAAGGTTGTGAAACGTGGTTGAGCCACCGCGGTATCGAGGGACCGCACAGCAATGCCCCAATCCCACATTCCCTCGGCAGGTGAACCGAGTGCACTATTAGAGCGGCGTCCTATTAGAAGTCGGGAATTCTATGCCTTGTATTATTAAGGGTAGATGCCGAGAACCCGGAAAGGGTTTGCACTTCATGCGCTTCGGCCCGAAAGAACGATGCGGGCGTGCTTTTGTTACAGTGATACTCGAGGAGCCACTCGACTCATGTTGGGCCTAGCGAGACCCACTCAGAATAAGTAATCCTACGGCGAGCCTTTGGGTAGGCATGGAAGAACTATTCGTACTTCGAGACAGCAAATCACCGGACAACCATGAAACCAATCAGCCGCGCACCTGAACACGTTACCTAGGTTCGTATACTCCACCACTATTGATCCTTCATAAATCCCTGCCAAGAAATGTATTGACGTACCTGTTTACCAAGATAGCTGGAATGTTAAAATTGCGTCTCAGAACCCATGTTACGATCAGTCATACAGCCGACGCTGCTAATGCGGTGCTAACTTGCTCGCATGTCTTGACGATAAGTAGAGCACGCCTCCCTGATCATGAATTCTTCTCACCACCTTACCTGCCCTGTCACTCTTTTCGTAAAGTTCTACACATTCGTTTCACCTCATATATGTACTCGCTATAATGCACTCCACTTCCTTCATCACCCTCATTTTTGGCGCCGCTCTCGTCGCGGCTGCTCCCGCACCCGTCAAAATCGGACTGGATGACGTTATCCTCCACGGCAAAGGCCACTTCACCGTTATGAAACGATCTGCCTTTGAAGAGCTGGAAGCTGCACGCAAGGCCAGTGCTGTACCTCCGAAGCCTGCCTACCTTGCTGAGATTCACTTCTCCGGCAACGAGACCAAAACACCAGACAAGCAGCACTTGAAACGCGACACCAGCATTATCATTCCAAACCCCAACTCTCGTTTCTTGGGCTGGGATGTTCAAATGAGCCAAGTCACCAAGGGCGCACCGACTACTATCTCCGTCGCCTCGGGTTTCTCCATTAGTAACAGCATTTCGGTTGGGGCGAGCAGCACTTTGACACTAGTCAAGGACTTCCTCCAAGTCTCCATGTCAATCGACTACAGCCAGACGTGGCAAACGACTCAGACGCAAACCTTCACCGCCGAGGTCCCAAAGGACAAGTATGGCGCTTTTGTCAGTAACCCTTGGACCAACCGTGCGAGTGGAAGTGTCTGGACGGGTACCATCGGTGGTGATGGAGAGCTATCCGACTACCAGGCTGACTCGTTCGAGTCAAAGCAGTTCGACAATATGGAATGGGTTGATGGTGTTATTAGTCTTTGTACAGGCGACGAGTTTCCTCTCAAAAGGTGCTTGGGCGAGGGTACACTATGAGGCTGGAAAGGGCTGTGACGAGCACATACTGACTTGACTGGGTGTCGGAATCGAGGATGCATGGAGGATCAAGACGGCTTCATAGATCCAGTACAGCTAATAATATTCAAGTGCTGTTTTGTAGAGGAAAGCGTTTATTGTGAGACCCGTCGAGCATGAGGCAATCGCATATCAAACTCCTGGCACTAGGCCGAGAACCTGGTTGATCATGCCTTTATACCTGCATCGTTCTGTCCACCCAAGGCTTCAGCGCCGCAAGTCCGATGACAACAGCCTCCTCTGTTCTAATTGTCCTGCTGCCCTGTCCCGGAACCAAATTAACCCAAGCATCAAAAAGCTCGCTAGCCATCGATTTGCCCAATCCCCTTGCCGCGAGAACCGGGTCGTTGGCAATAGCCGGTTCTATGCCCGCTTGACCACCAAATACAATAAGGAGGTGTTTGAAGGGTTTGTGAGCTTTGGCTTTGGCTGCAAACGTAGCAGACTCATTGCTGGTGTCAGTAAATAGTGAATAGACAGACTGGCCGCGTTCCGATGTCCCTATAGACATGTCATAGCCATCTGGGTATTCGCAATCGGAGAAGACGGCGCTGAGTGATGGAGCGCGTCGGACTGTGTAACCCCAGTAGTAGCCGCCTTCCTCACGTGGCACGCTGGCCGAGCATGCCATAGCATCCATTCGATTGCATTCCTGCTGAGATAGGTGGGGCCAGTTGGGTGGTGCATCGGCACTGGTGAAGCGAACGGTTGTGCGCATGCCTTGCTCAGGAGGGGCTTCTTTGGAGACAGGGACGCGGATGGGATACGGCAGACCGCATTTGACGTATGCATACTCTGAGTCATGAGACAGAGATGTCCCTGAATTGTTGTTCTTGGGTATCAATGATGTGGGTAAAAGGGCTGGGCCAACAAAGACACCTTCGCGGTATCGACACCACTCGTGGCTTCGAAGATGGTGCGGCATATCCATACTCGGGAGATTACCAACCCATTTGAGATTCTGATGTTCCTTGAAGATGCTCAATCGGGGATCATCGGCGTCGTATCGTAGATGAGGTGGGCATTCGGCGTAAGACAATAAATGGCAAAGGAACTGGTCTGGGTTCTGCCATGCCTCATCGTGCTCCAGGATAGAGTCGAGGACTTGTTGCTTGGACCGTCCTTTGCGGATGTATTTGGAATCAACTACTCTGGGGTCGACATTGCTTGGATCTTCATCGAATACAACGATTTCATCGACACAGTAGATGGCGGCTGCGCGTGCGATTCGTCCGACTTGGATAGTCTTGTGATCAGGCTTCTTGGCATTGAGAGTCCAGCTTCCCGGCAAAGCGATAGTGACGGTCCAGTCGCGACCTTTGGTTGGTGTGAAAAGAGCGGTAGGTTTAGAAGTATCAACGTCGTCTATTTGTTGCTCTTGGGTGTCGCGTTTGCGTTTCTTGGCAGGACTGACGTTGTCGTGTGGAGGCTGATGCACAGCCATGGTCAGTCTTCGACTTGAGCTTGAGCCGTTCGAAGTCACGATGTCGTGAACAAAGATGGCGCAACGTGCTCTTGAGTAACGGGTGCGGTCGCGGGAAAATGTGAATCGGTCGGTGGCATGTTGCTCGTTGAAGGTCGCAACTTTTTGTCCTGTCTTAGCGCGCCCACCCCTGTCGCACCGCGGCTTGCGGCTTGCGGCTTGCGGCACCGCCGCTCGCTCAGCCCACTGCGGCGGCGCAACTTGACTTCGATGTCTCTTTCCCACCATGACAGTGGTATAAGCTGCTCTGATCTAAAAGCATCCTCGAGACGACGCACCTCACAACATGGAGGGCCACAAGTACACCTAGCCACCGCTCCCTTCATTACTCGCATACAAAACTAACAACCCCCTCTAGGCCCACGGCCTCGCCTGCGACCTCTTCGACGCCCACGGGCACGCTCTTCACCTTCCTCGCCCTCTACCTTACTACGCTCTTCTCCTTCGACACGTGGGCCGCCGCACGAGGGTCCCCCTACCGCGCACCAGGCATCAACAACTCCACATATCGCCCTGCCGTCACTGCACCAGCACCAGGCAGTTACCAGGACGGCATGCATGGGCGGGGTCGTGCTGGACCCAGGTCTGGTAGTCAAGCGCGGGGCGGTGGACATGCTGGGAGCATCGCACAGACGAGCGACTCAAGACCGCCGATTCAGATGGGTGGCACAGCTGCGTGCAGCGCTTGTTTGATCTAAGGCAGGCGACGTGAGGCGATGGGGACTGCACTTGCATGGCTGACGATGAATGGCGGCGTAGTCTTGAGCCTATCTTGACATCTTCATTGCCCCCTTTCGCGCCAAGCGACTCGGTGATGCTAGCGAAACTAACTACGCTCCCCTCCGCACATTCGTACTCATCAACGTGATCTTTTTGCCCTTCTTCTTCTTTCCACCGGCCGGCTTCTTCGTGCCTTCTTCGCCTCCACCCAGAGACATGGCTTGTGCTTGGGCAATCATGTCTTCCTCGGCAAGCAAATCCTTCTCCCAGCCCTGCAGCCACCCATCATCGCCGTCATGATGATCCTGGGGCCCAAACACTGGAGATGTGCCTGCCACTATCGCCGTACCCCATACGGTCCGTGGCGCTGACGGGCTTGACGAAGGAGAAGCCAACGGAGCGAAGCCATCGCCACGCCGCCGTGGCCAGGGTGGCGACGTCGAAGAGTTGTCTCCATCCATGACGGGCTGCACGTCCGGCATGCTGCCTGATGCTAGAGGCTGGAAATCGTCGGCGGAGAATCTCTCCGTCATGCTTGGACGCCTTCTGCGCGCAGATGCAAACTCGGCGTACTCGGCCTTTTCCGCACGCTGTCGTGCCTTCTCTTCTTTGCTCTCTTTCTCAACATGCCTCTTTCGCCTTCTCTCAATATCGGGTCGGAAGCGCTCCAGCACTTCTGGGGCAACAGTATCGGTCCAATCACATTCAAGGAAAGCAACCTCACAGCCGTATGGTAGATGCGCCAGGTATTTTGTGCGCTTGCGCAATTCGTCATCGACTACGTGTCCCGTAGATACGTGCTCGACACGGGGAAGGATCGTTGAGGGAAACGAGGCGAAATTTCCGAAAGCCGCTTTCAGAATGCGAATGTCTAGCGGAGATAAGTAGTAATGCAACAGTGCTTGGTAGAAGAAATATTCCGCGGGCGTCTGATGGTGCTCGTGGTGCTGTCGATTACGAAGCTCTGCAAGCGTCAAAGACATTCCATGGCTTGCTGCTGAAGAGTGCGAAGAGCCAGACATGGCCCTGTCCTTGCCGTAAGCAAGACCGACCTGGGAATGGTCCTGTACGGTGTACATGTCTGGTGCCGTCGTTTCGTCGAATACAATGGGCGCTCTCTTCATCTTGGGTTCCGCGGGCTTGGCGGGCTCCTCTGGTGGGTTTCCGATTCCTTTGAGTTTCTCCTTGGCCTCTCGGATACTCCTTATCGCCTTGTTGGTCCATTCCATGCTGTCTTCGGCAAACATGACTTCGTCCTCTTTTCCTTGCTGCTCCAGCTTTACAATTTCCTGATCATGTTGGTGCAGCATGTAGTCCTCACCACCGCGCATTATGCGGGCATAATCGGTTACCTCGGCGGCATGATACCAAGGGATATCTTCATCTTTGGTCATAGCGTACGCGCCATCGCGGGGCATAGCCAGGGTGCTTCCCGCGGATCTGACAGCCAAGCGGAGAACTACATCGCCTCCCTCGCGGGGAGGCTCACCCTCCTGGCCTGTGTACCAGCGCACTGGCCTCGTTTCAGATGCGTATATGGTGTCGAAGCACAGCGGGCATTTGCTCGAACGTGCCCGCTTGTCTCGGGCCTTGGCATCGTCCTCGGAATGCATGTAGCGGATGAGACATGGGAGACAGAAGATGTGGCCACACCTCGCCATCCTGGGGGCTACGGGTGAGCCAAGGCAAATAGGACACGAGGCATCTTGCGAAATCTCGGAAGCCAGTATCTGCAGGACGTTGTTCCAATCGAGGTGGACATCGGCATCGACACTTTGGGCGCGGTAGTCGCCGCGGGGGTCTACGATGAAGCGGTAGTTGGCGTGCACGTATCTGCATGGTGTTAGCGGAATGGTCGACACGGTGCTGCTCCCGTTGAGACTCTCACCTTGCCTTGTCTACGGCGTGGTAGCCCGAGCCAAGGCCCCACGTCGGATTGCGCCGATAGCTCCTCGCGTGGCCATGGGCGGCATGGTTGGTTGGGCGGGGCGGCAAGCTGAAGTTCATGAGGTGGGTAATGGACGTCTGGCCCTTGCGGTTCTGGAAGGGACGCATGGCGAGAGACTCGGCAATGGCATCCTCGTCCGTCTGCCTGAAGCGCTTCGACGCCTTGTGCTGTTTCTTCTGCTGCTGCGAGTTGCGGGGAGTCGGTGATGACCGCGCGGGCGCGCCACTACCCCGCGGCTGCGTGGAGAAGCTGCTGGTGCTGGCGGAGGGCGTCTGCGTCTGGGCGGGTGAAGCGGGCCCCGAGGGAGCGGAGGCCTTGGACGAGGCGGCGGCGGTGGGCGGATTGCTGGACATGACGCCCAGCTAAGGGTTCACGAGCAGGACAAGGGCGAATAATGCGAGTGCGGTGGTATGTAGCTGCGAGGGTTGGCGTCCCCAAGAGGTGGCTTGGAGACGACGAGAGTCGCAAGGCCGAGTGGCGATGGTGCTCTGACGACAGCGTCTCCGCACAGACGGCTGCGATTGCCCTTTCGGATCACGTTGGCGCGGCTTCTTCTACAACCTCATCGATTCCGACCCCAACAGCAATCCACCCCGACCTCTACCTCTACACTGCACTCCACGTGTCTCCGTCGCGGGCAGCCCGTGCTGCGCTCATGTCGTCCTGATACCATGACCCCGCAGTCCCACTAGACATTTCCCTCTCCCCGTTGCCTCGCAAGCTGGCTGCGACGGCTCCCGCCAGCGCCCACGGTCGAGGCAACACGGCCTCCAGCGCCCACAATGCCCGGCCCGTACATGCCTGGCAGAAGGCACGAGCAGCAGTACTACCACCACCACCACCCGATGCCGCCACAGACACACTCGCCCGTCCAGCACAACCCCTATGCCGCGCCCTACCACCACAACCTCCACCACCTACCGCACTATGGCCCTCCCCACGCCTATGCCCAGCAGCAGCAGCAGTGGTACCCTTATCAGCAGCAGCAGCCGCCGCTCCAGTATGCCATGCCTCCGCGCCAGTTCCAGCCTCAACCCCATGCGTCGCCCGTCGTCGTCTCTTCTCATCTGCACACTGTCCCTCCGGCCAACCGCCCCATGGCGCAAACGCCGCCCATTGTCCACTCGCACACTCCGCCTGCTCCGCGCATGCCCACGCCTGCACCCGCCCCGCCCACGCCTGCGCTGCACTCGCCCGCTCCCATGACTTTCGACGCCCCTCCTCCCGAGGCTGAGTCAAAGCCTACAGAGGCCGCTCCGCCTACGCCGCAATCCATCACATTCAAGCCTTTCTACCCGCCTCTGCCCTGGTTGTCCGTCCCCGAATCAGTCTTCCCGCCGCGCGCTGCACACCGCCGGCGAAGGCGCAGAGCTCCCGTGTCCATCGAAGACCAGGCTTTGGCCCTGCCCTCGCGCGAGCAGCCCGTGGACGAGCATGACGCCGCGTACCTCGACCAAGGCACCCAAGGCCAGCTGACCCCGACCGAGGAACCGGAGGACTCGCAGGCTTCTACTATACCAGCACCCTCTGACGCTGATGTCGATACTCCGTCTACCTCACATCCGCCTTCGGAAGCCGATCTGGCGCAATCTGCCCCACCGTCTACTGCAACACCATTGCCCGTACAATCGCCAGCCCAGCCTTCAGCCACTTTCAAGCAACACGCCCGCAACCCCACGATCCCAGCCGTGCCCCGCGTTCCTGTCAAACCAATACAGGCTCCCAGTGCACCTTCGACGACGCAACAGTCGGTTAAATCGCCCGCTGGCATTCATCAGGAGCACACCCAGAATGGAGACACTACAGCAACAAAACCCCACACAGGCCCAAAATCCGAAGAGACACCAAAGGCATCTCCGCCTCGGCTGGCAGCACTAAAATCTTGGGCAGAGCTGTTGAGGGCGAAGAACACTCCCGCCGTCGCGCAGCCAGCCTCCTTCCCCAACAATACCTTGGCTGTTTCAAACGGCCCTGTAGTATCCAACAACATCACGCTTGCACACGTTCTGGCGTCTTTCTCAGTTGACGCCGAGACAAAGGTTTCCTTTATCGAGCCTCGCGGGCTTGTAAACACGGGCAACTTGTGCTATATGAACTCGGTGCGACCTAGTCCCGCTACTCTACTCTGTGCTACGCTGACTTGTCTTGCAGATTCTCCAAGTACTCCTGTTCTGCGTTCCCTTTTACAATTTCCTTGACCAAGTTTCAAAGCGCGCTGCGCATAGCTTCAAGTCTGAAACACCTCTTGTGGACGCCATGATCATGTTCCTGCGCGACTTCCGACTCATCGACTCTGCCGACACCATCGAGCAACTCCGTCTTCGGCTCAAAGGCAACGAGCTCGAGCAGTACGGTGACCCGCTTACACCCGAGTACGTATACGACGTCATAAAGCGTCTGCCTCGATTCGACAATATGAAGAGGGGTCAGCAAGAAGACGCCGAGGAGTTTCTGGGCTTCTTGCTTGCTGGACTGCACGACGAGTGCGTTCACATCATCAAGAGTGGCAAGCAGAGCCAGTCCGCAGACGCCGTCGCATCCCCCGGGACCGCACGATCAGGCTCCATTGATGGTGGTTGGGAAGAGGTTGGGCACAAGCAAAAAACTTCCATTACACAAAATTCTGGGGCGATTGATGTTGAAAGTCCCATCACCAAGATCTTCGGTGGCAAGTTGCGGTCGGAATACAAGAGGCCAGGCGAGAAGGCCTCGGTCACACTTGAGCCGTACCAACCCCTTCAGCTCGATATCGGTGAGCCCAACACTAACAGCATCTCTGATGCTCTCAAGAATCTTACGCGTCTGGAGACGTTGGACGGTGCGGCTCGGGGTTCCAAAGCTTCCACCAAACAAGTGCATATTGAGACCCTCCCACCAGTCCTCATTCTTCACCTGAAGCGTTTTCACTACGACGAAAAGGGACCACAAAAGATTTGGAAGAAGATTGGATACCCCTTGGAGTTGGAGCTTCCGAGGGAGGTTTTCCCCCCGCATAAGCGAAGCAGCTATCAGATCCAGGGATGCTTCCCGCGTTACCGGCTTATCGGTGTCGTGTACCACCACGGTAAGAACGCAAGTGGCGGCCACTACACCGTCGACCTCCGGCGCCAGGAGGGCAAGGAATGGATCCGAATGGACGATACCATCATTCGTCGCATCCGCGCCGAAGATGTCGCTGAGGGCGGCGCTGAAGAGGATCCCAAGGTCCTGGCGGCTGCGCTCGAGCAACACCAGAGCGATGTGGGGAAGAGCAAGAACTTCTTCGCCCGGATCGACTTGGATGAGCAAGAGATGGACAAAGGAGGCTGGAACCAAGTCAATGGAGCCGAGAAGCAAAAGGACAGCATCAAGAAATGGACTAGTGCTGTCAACGGTACGGTAACCCCTATCTCAGCGGGCAAGAGGACGCCTCTGCCCAGCGAGAACCTGCGCGACAACAAAGTGGCCTACATCCTATTCTACCAGCGCATGGAGACTTGAACGATGTTTAGTGGATGGGCCAGACGAAATATGATGAGTCGGCGTCTATTCGAGTCGTTTTGTCATCTCACCTCCAAATTTTACTGCAGCATGTACGACCGAGAAAGAAAAGCCACGATATGCATGCCAATGATGCGTGCAATAGATCTACCCGATCCGCACGATGTACCAAGAAGAGTAGTGGCGCCTTCATGTCGATGTGATACCCTGTGGCAGGTGTTTAGCACACGACAAATAATAAAATGATCGAATGTTCACTCCTGCCCCATTCTTACATGCTCGATATATCAGGCCAACTATTCTTGCCTGGACAGTCTGGTGAATACATAATATTGATGAAATCATTATTTTGTAAGATCGACAAGCATTAAGATGAATATATGGACAAGTAGGTATTATCAGAAAGGCGTTCAAGTCTGGTACAGCCCAATTAGACGTGAAAGGTCGCTGAAGAATGCGTCAAAGACTATTCATACAAGGCTGTTTCGACCAATGTGCAAAACAGCATGTCCCGGCTCGGAACTGGGGTATCGCTCTCTTCGAAACCTTCTCGTTCGGTAGCCATGTTGCCACAGCATATACCATAGTGCAGTCCCAAGACAACTTCATTGTCGTAAAGCATCTTGGAACGCAGCGGAAGGAGTAGCGATAATTCACAATTGACCAAATGCTTATAGCGAGACGATGAGCTATAAGTACGCGTTGGAATAAGCCGAATTTACGCCCTGAAGAGCTCTTGATAGATACAACTAAGCGTCGTGTATAAACGCACATGCAGTATCCAAGGCTATGCGAACACATCTGCTACCAAGGCGATATCTTCCCAAAAGCAGATATCACCAGTAATACGCAGACAGATTAGTACGTCGGTGCCGCCACGGCGTCCTTCGGAACTCACCCCCGGCATGCGGATAATCTCGTCGCAATATCAAATCAAGGACGCTACGTCATACTGGGTGCGCTAAAGAAGCGACTAAGGTCAGGTCACTTCCCCAGAGCTTAGCGAAATAATTGCGAAAATGAGAGCTGGCGATAAGATACAGTGCGACATGATTGAAGTCATTTGTAGGTTCTAGCAAATGCTTGGGCTTACATAGACTGTTCAAAGCGTGCACTGATGTGTGAACGTTGCCAGCGTCTTCAAGTCATGGCCGCCACCGGCAAACAAGGAAATCTCAGAGGGTTCTGTCACAACGTGCGTCTTTGAAGTGGGTGCTTAATGTTGAAGGCTTCGTGCACAGAATCGACCAACATTCCAGGTATCTTTTGAGTTGTTCGAGATGTAAACAATGATTGTGTGTTCAAGGTCGGCCCAGTGCCGACCGATAAGGTGTTAGACATAGTTGCATTAGCGTCAGGCGGGGAAGATACCTCGGCTTCAACACGCCCAAGCTTACCCATCAGCAGCTTAGTACCATCTCTCAAAGCCTTGGGCTGTCCATACCTTTGAATACTTCTCGCGACAGCAGCCGTAAATGTGACCTCACTCGAACAGTTCATAGTGACCGTCTCGTCCGCCGTGCCGTGCCCAACATGTCATCCGTCAACTGTCAAACAACGCCACCTCCCACCTCCCACGTCGTCCTCTCTTATCCAGCCGACTATGTCCTCCTCGTTACAATTAACCGCGAAAGACAGATGAACTCGATACCGTTCGAAGGACACCTTGAAATGGGCCAGGTATTCGATTGGTTCGACCATGAGCCCAACCTCCGCGTTGCCATTGTCACAGGAGCAGGCAAGAAGAGCTTTTGCGCCGGGCAAGATCTCATTCAACTCGGAAAGATAAGGAGCGGGGAGCTGAAAGCAAGCCCTGGTATGATGCGACACCCTGTGAGTGGGTTTGGGGGGCTGAGCAGAAGGATGGGAAAGAAGCCGGTTATCGCTGCTGTCAATGGGTTTGCGCTAGGTGGAGGATTCGAGATTGTTCTGGGCTGGTACGTCGCGCTTCGCTATGAATTTGGGAATGAGACAGGCTGCTAATCAGCGGCTTTACAGCGACATGGTGGTAGCGGCACCTCACGCAACCTTTGGTCTCCCAGAAGCTCTCCGTGGCATCTTCGCCGGCGCAGGAGGCCCACCACGTCTAGTCCGCAACGTAGGCCTACCCATCGCATCCGAGATGGCATTGACAGGCCGATCCATTACCGCGCAACGAGCCAAAGAGCTCAACCTCGTCAATCGCATATCGCCATCCCAAGACACGGTAGTGGAAGAGGCGTTGAAACTGGCAAATGAAATCGCAGCCATTTCACCTGATTCGGCAATTGTCACACGAGCGGCGCTGAAGCAAGCTTGGGAAACTGGGAGCGTGGAGCGGGCTACTCAACTGACGATTGAGCAGTATAACCACGGCTTGAACGCGGGGGATAATGCGCTAGAGGGGCTCAAGGCTTTTGCAGAGAAGCGGAAACCGAACTGGCGACCTTCCAAGCTGTAGACGTGACTGCAGTATGGAGCTTGCTATCTTGAATTTGCAACTCCCGTGCACTCTTCTGGTATAGTTAGTTTTTCTTACCTACCTGTTCATTCTGGTAACTGAACAAGTCCTCATTCTACGTGGGTGAATGTTACCCGTCGTGCATATGTTGGCAAGCTTCGGTGATGCTTTTCCTAGCACACGACGTCGATCGGCGCGTCTCTGATGTGCTCGGCCAGTAGCCTCGCACCAAACTTTACGAGGCTGTTGAACCAAGCCAGATAGAGTTAGCACAGTATGTAGGAAGAGGTTGTCATCGCATGCATCCTACATGCGCCCCATAACCCCACCTTTCCCCGCATGGGAGCGTTCGGGTAGCGCTAGCACGACGTAATGTCAAAGGAAACTCCCGAGGTAGGCGCTATTAAAGCGGATTATAACGGAGTATCTAGTCTGAAAAGATCGTTGACTCGGAGACGTTGACATTCTACTGACTTGAACTGCACGATTCAATGAAGAACTGGAGACCCTGCTTTGACATCATACCCTCTATCTTGCCATGGTGAACCGACGAGCTAGCGATGCAGCGGCTCCCCCAACTCAAACACCCGTTGCAACCGTCGCCAAGCGAAAACGACGTGCTTCCTGCCTAGGAGAACAAGAGCGTCGCGAACGGAAAAGAGCTATTGACCGTGAAGCTCAACGCTCACTGCGAGAAAAGACCAAAACGCACATCGCGGAATTAGAACGAACCATCCAGATACTTCGCGATCAAGATCGTAATGGGGCTACGGCGAGTCTGCTCTCCAAGATTGATAGTCTACGGGCAGAAAATGAGCAGTTGAGGGATGTCATCGATAGCGTCAAGAGCGTGGTGGGACTGGACCTTGGGATGTCGAGCAAGACCGCTGCGGCGATCGTACCACCATCCCTCGCCGATAACGGTGACGATGAGGACGCTCCTTTTGCTGCGACGAGTGCCGGTACGCATGAACCTCTAGCACTGGCCTTTGACCCCTCGACGGGATGGCTCACTTTGGATGCTAGGGCAGCAATCGCCTAAGCCACGCACTGTCTCGTCTAGCAGTACGACGAGACCATCTCTGCCGACGCCCATCGGCCAGTCCACCAACCATATTCCGTCTGAAACAATGCGCTCGCTCGACCTTGATGGTATGACAGTAATGCCAGATCTATTCATGCCGCCTGTGGGGTCGAATCACCATCTTGGCTTGGAGCCCACTCTCCCGCCTGTACACAAGAGCTCAGCAGAAGAAAAGGTAGAAGACCAGCACTGGGCCAACGCACCAGCTACAGCAACATGGGCGCCCATGATAGAAGAAGTATGTTAACCACTATCTTCCTTCCCCGTCTGACTCGCAACTACCTACAGATCTTCGGCCCAAACTGGCGTTGTCCCTCCCCAACAATCCTCCACATCGGCAACCCAGACAACCCCACCCCTCTGGCCTCGTCCTCCATTTGCCCTGTTTGGAAAAAAAGCAACGAACTCTTTGGCAAAGTTTTCACCTACCATCATCATTACTCAGGCAATTCTAACAATTATTCATCTTCCTGCCACGATCTAGTGCCGGTCGATATCGCAGAAGCAGGACTTCTATACCTTGGCATAAAGCAGGGTTGGAACAGCTTAGCCTCGTTAGAATGGAAGAAAAGTCCTGCGCTTACCATTCTGAAACAGGTCGACGAGTTACTGTTTGTTCATTTGCCCAATGTAGAGAGGCTGGCTGTGGCGTATAAGAGCTTCAAACTGCTCAAGGTACGTCGACGTCAGCTCACCATGCATGAAGCATACAAAGTAGGAAGCTGATCTGCGTGTGATAGTATTATCTGAACGCAAGAAAAGAAGAATTAGACAGAGTACCCGACTGGCTCCGTCCAAGGTAACCTTCTCACCTACCTACCCACCCGCATATATTCCCCCATGCCACGCCAGCCCAGTTCACTCCTTCGTCCGTCCGTCCGTCTGACACCACGATCAGTTTCTCACAGTCATCCACCGCCCACCCCATCGCCCTTGACTTCTTTGCCTGGCCCACCCTCCGCTCCCGCCTCTTGAATAACCATGCCACGATCTTCCAAAATACCGATCTCTCATGCTGTTACTCGCGCTATCTGCGCTTCGACTGGCCTTTTCCCATTGAAGACGCTTTCTTCCTCGATGATAGCAGTGGAACCCATTACCCTAGTCCTCTGTTTGAGCGATACCACGGGGATCTGAAGTATTGGTCGGTAGACGAAAAATTCTTTGAAACGTTTCCGGAGATGAGGGGGGATATTGAGGGGGACCGGTGCAGGAGAGGATGACTGTATGTTGAACCAACCAAGGTAATTGCGTTGTCCATTTGATGCTACATTAGAAATTGACCATGATGGCGAAATATGCCATGTTCGCTATCTATGCTGTACCAGTACATTGTCACCCTGTCCGTTCCACTAGTACTGGCCAGCCGCCGCTTGACACGCCTTGAGCTGGTCCAAGTACCAACCACAGATAGTCAGACTACCTTGGTTCTCATCCATACATTTGCGAAAGGTCTGAACATCGTTTGCGCAAGGACCGGACTGCGCCATTTGGGCGGATGCGGTGTCGGCGGGCTGGTGCTGGGCAGAGAACTCGGTGTTCTGGGGCGAAGCTTCGGCGGGGGCAGATGAACCGCCTCCGAACCAGCCTCCGACAGCGTGGCCGATGGAGGAACCTACTGCGACACCGCTGTTGTGAAGGTCAGCCATGTATAAGCATGTTGGTGCATTGGGCCGGTTTCGGATGCAGAGAGTATCCGCGTAGTGGCAAACAGGTGGCGCAAAGGTGGGTGCAGGATCTACTTACGCAGCAGTGCTAGCCATTTGCCCAAACAAGCCGGGTCCCTGCGGCGTGGGAGCTTGCGCCTGTTGCTGAGGAGGCGCATGAGCGCTGGCTGGTGCGTGTGGGGGAGCTGCCGCCGTAGAATGAGGGCGCGAAGAAGCGGGCGCAGGAGCAGTGGTTGCTTGCTTCGCGGCTGGGACCTGCGGGCGACGAGGAGGAGCGGTTCCAGAGCGTTGACGAGGCATGTTGAGCGATTCGGTGGTGATATGTGGTTTGCAGGTAGACTCTGGTGTGGTGGCAGGCAATGGAGATTCAAGGCATCGACATGGCGATTTCAAGCCGTTTTTTAGAGCAGCATTCGGGCTTGGCGCGGGTGGGCACGTCGCCGGCTTCCGCATTGGCTTATCGGCTCGTCGTCCATCAATTTGTACCCTGACAGGAACATCACAACATGGTGTGCCACGTCCGTTTGCCCGATCCATTCTAACAAATATCTTCGACCTCGACGTCACCACCACTCTTTGGCCCGAGGTCAGTTCGCAGCGTCCGATCGAAAAGCTCCTTGAGCATCTCAAAGCAGATCCCCGCCAACGCAGCATCGTACCGGCCCTTGCTAAGTTCGTCGCGAATGAAAGCGTCTATAGCGTATGAGTGTTGTTTCCATAATCGCGCCGATACAGAACTCACGTTGTGCCCAAGCTGGTTCGTAGAATGAAAATGTTACTCCAGCCTCTTGAAGCGTCTGTCTAATCAAATCCCTACCCTCGGCTGGGACATGAGTATCCATCTTACCAAAGATCATGACCAGTTCTCCTTTGATGTCCTTGGTGCGAGCGAGTGAGTCATCCTTTTTGCCCTTACCCAACGTGGAGCTGTGGATATCGGTTGCGAAATAGCAAATTGCACTGGAGATGCGGGGATCGAAAGCGCAACGATAGGCTAGATGACCGCCTAGACACATGCCTGCTTACGGTTAGCCTGGATTGATGGGAACGCTGAAGTTGAGTGGGAAAGGGGTATAATGGAGATGGGACTGAATAAGGACAAGATACAAGATGGCGGCAACGTACCGGTAGCGCCAACACGGCCATTACACGTTGGCAGTTCAAGCAGGGTGTCAATGGAAAGCGTGGCATCTTCGTCATATGCTTCGACTGTCTTTGTGATCTTCCATTCGTTCCCAGCGTCCGTACCCGGACCGTCGTACGCCAGAGGCTCGGGACCAGTAAATTCGTGGTATGAGGACGGTGCTGCGACGATATATCCTCGGGACGCTATTTGACGAGCAAAGCGAGCAACGGGCCCAGTGACTTGTCAAAGCTCAATTAGTAGATGAAACAGGTAGCATAGACGGATGATGGGGACACATAGGTGGTCCTTGGAGAGTAAAAAGATGAATGATAAGGTTCAAGTGGTGAGCTAGATAGAATAGAAGATTTGGGGTCGTGCAAGCAGGCGGCTACATCTATTCTTACTCCCGAGTTCGTCAAAGCGCACGAATGCACTTGGAAAACTTCAAGACAAATCAAATCAAATCAAACGCACGTACCTTGGTATATTTCGGAGAATACAACGACAGCCGGGAATTTGGCCTTCGGGTAGTTGGCAATAGTAGGGTGGAAGATGAAGACCCCTGGACGGCGAGCATACAAATTAGCCTCCGTGTAACAACCTTCTCGTGACACCCATGGACGGCACACCTGGGCATGCAGTAACATACTCATATCACCACCTGCCTTGGTGGGTACATCTTTGTGTGTCTCTATAACGAGCATTGCGTGTTTCTTGTCTTGTTTGACCTGAGCGTTGTTTGGCTATTGGTAAGGCTGCGGCGTACGTGTTTGTGAAGGTGGTTTTGAGGTGGGGTGGTGGGGTAATGTTATGCGCACGGTCCAGGCGACATTGAAGCACATGCGATGCAGAGACAACCAGCGTCTCTATTATGCCACGAGGGGTTTGAGAAATTAAATGTCAGAACTGTGCTGATGCAAATGCCGCGAGTGTGATGACAGCATCTGCCATGCCATTTTTTATTATTGGGGTTGGCTTTTGCAGTTCATTCGACCTTCGCCGAGGTGGTTTCTACCTGACATAACCTCGGGATGCTGAGAGTGACAAATTGAAGAGTTGGTTTGCGAATATGAGTACATGGTAGTCTGGGAGAAAGATATCAAGTCCATGTGACGACGTGCAT